TCGTTCGTGACTCTTTTGCTCTAGTTTAAGTTTCAAACCATCATTATTGGTGTTGTTGATTGCTTGTACGAACTCGTGTGTTCTCTTGCTGTTTTTCCAAATAATGCACACATTGTCCACATATCTTTTGTACAATACAATATCCTTTTTGAATCCATTAACAATGTGTTTTTCTAAGTTGCGTATTAACCAGTTCACATTACAATCCTGACATCGGGCTTCCCATAGGCACTCCTTTCTTTTGTCTGTATATTTCTTTATCGTAACTGAAGAAGGACTCATAGCATACCAATTTGGCTAATTCCATCAAATCATTCTCTTAATCAATAGACTTAAGGAACACAAATATGACATTAATAAAGGAAACTGCAACACTGTTTTGTCAAGTATGGCACAATCTGAGGCTTCAGTGGTTAAATGGAATGAAGTAACTATTCTCAAAACCATGCGATCCCTATCATTGGCTTTGCAACATGAAAAGATTGAAATTTATAAAAGTAAATTAAGGGATGGCTGTATTAATGCAAAGGATGCGGATGGATTAGCTTCTGCATGGAAGTTCTTCATAAAAGAAAACTTCAAATATACAGATTCTTAGCCCCTTAGAAATCTGTCCTTATATTGTGATGCTTTTTTATGTATTTTTATATGTATTTTATTTTTATGTATTTATTTTATTTTATTTTTATCTATTTTATTTCGTTTTATTTTATTAATATTATTTATATTGTTATGGCTTCAATGTGTTTAGTATATTTATTTTTGTTATTGATTTGTTAATTTATTTTTCGTTTTAATTTTGAATTTATAATGATCGAACGTTCCATTTAATAGAATTTTGAAATACGTTCGAATGCCAGTTCACCTGAAGATGGCCTATTCCATTAGGCTGAAAACGTTTGTGTTTAAATAAAGTTTTCTCAGCGATAGAAGGTGTTAAATGTTTTATTAAGTGCTTTTAAAAGAAGCTGAGTTTGATATTTAATTTGAAAAACAAACACTGACACAAATATTTCACGTGAATACATTAAATTAAACAAATTAAAAAATGTAAAAGTAGATGCATAACAAGTGTAATTCCATACTAAATATTCACGTAAATACAGTAACGTGTGTAAAAATGTGATCAACCTGATAAATAAATACTCTGATATTAACAAACTTTCGTTTCTTTATCACTAATTTTATTACCAAAATTAAATGGCAGGAAATCTTTCTTTAGATAAAGAATAGTTTCAATATATTATCTAACAGTAACTATCGATTATTCAGTAAGATTATCTAAAGGAGACTGACAACTCGACTATATAAATACGACATTGTGAACTCAAAGCCTAATTTCGCCATTTTTATTAGTAAGATATCATATATTCCTATAAAAGGTAGGCTGATTACATAAATCACATTATCTGTATTAAATGCATATNTTGTCATCTTAAAAATTTATTTACTTGTCAAGTTTGTGTTATTTATTTATAATAATGTGCAATATTAAACTTCTTTGTGTGTTTTAATAAATTAATCGCGAATTTTTGAAAAAAGTAACATAGGAATTACTCGATGTTGATTTAAACTCAAAATTATTTTATAATTTCAATACAAGCGTGTATTCATGAGCGATGGAAGTAGAAAACTAAAAAAAAATTGTAGTTTGTTGTATGACTGTGTACCGTAGGTACATTATTATCAAGAGTGAAATTGTAGTGAATAGGTTAACATTAAACACAAAATTCATTTATTAAAGTAAATTTTTCAAGGCTCATGGAAATAAGTCGTCAGCATCTACACAATATATCGTTGTTTAGCCATTAGTTACTATACACGATATCAGTGCAAGTTTTCATCGTTACATCGAATATAATGTTGAAGTGCTTATAATTAGACGTGAAATTAAATATGAGAAGATTTGGATTGTTACTAATAGTCTCATTCTACTCTGCTGTTGGTAATATACCAAATGAAGTTGCTATTGGTAAGATTAGCAAAGATAAGTTTACTTTTATGTTTTGGATATACTCGAATGCATTAACTTTAGTTGTTTTAATAACAAAACATGTAATCAATGTTAATATTAATTTAATGACTCTGATTCTGACCTTTACTTTAATATTATTTAACTTATTCTTGCATAAACGAGGACAGTTGTAATTTTTATTTAAAACCGTCGTAATTTATATTTCAGCATCCAAGTATTTGAAAACAATATATTACATTTTGGTATTTATAACGATTGCACAATATAAAATTTACAGTTATTACAAAAATAAATTTTGTAAAAATTACAGCGGCGCGTAATAATATAAAATTAATCCGTTTGAAACTATATCTGGTATATTTCCTTTTTTATTTGTTTTTAGTAATCATACAATTTAAACTTGTTTAGTCCATTTTTTGTACTTGACATTATGATTTGAATAATACATTTAAAATACAAAATATAAACAAAATGAACTAAACAAGCCTTAATTGTATCACCACTAAAAACAAATGAAAAAGGTAATGTACCAGATGTTGTTTTAAAACGAATTAATTTCTTACTACGTACCGCTGTAATTTTTTCAAAAGTTATTGGTTTTATATATAGTAATAATAATAATCTATATGAAGAAGAAAATCATATTCCGAAATGGAGTTTAGTTAATTTGTAATATTTTTGTAATAACTGTAAATTTTATATTGTGCAATCGTTATAAATAACAAAATGTAATATACTGTTTTCAAATATTGACTGCTGTGTATGATAAACCTTGAAATATAAATTACAACTGTCTTCGTTTATGCAAGAATAAGTAAAATAATGTTATTAATGAATGACTTAGATAATGTAAAATAAATTATTATAATAGCAATCTACTAATTTCGATTTATCTGTTATAGATTTCCGTTAAATATTTATACTCTTTACTTTTCAGGTGCTATTTTTCCGTCTGATTTTTCTATATTACAAGAAACATTTCGGTTAGCTATAAACAATATAAATTCAGATTCTAATTTATTACCCAATACGATACTCATTCCGATTACAGAGAATGCTTCTACGCAATTAGAAGTTATTAGAGCCGGTAAATTTATATAAATTATATTAAAATTATCTTATTAATAAAATTAAATACCGATATAATTTTTCAGCGTGTAATTTAGTGGATCAGCGAGTGATATCGATAGTTGGACCGCTAACGTCTTTAAATTCTAAAAGTGCTCAAATTGTGTGTGGCCAATTGGGAATACCGCAGATTAGTATCTTGGCCACAGACCCGATGTTATCTTTAATACCGATTTTGAACCAATCGTCGTCTACGCTTTTAAAAATGTCACCTCCAGATACCTTTCAGAATCACGCCTTAATACACATCTTGAAATATTATGGGTGGGATGCTTTCGCCATTTTAACAGAAGATAATGAAGCAGGCGAGTTTTTATTCTTGTTCTGTGCTTAACAATGCCGTAAAGTTTATTAATTATTCTCTATACGAAATTAATTATTAACTAATTTATGGTCTATATGTAATAAAATTTAATTAATTATGTGTTTATATGTAATTTTAGCATTAAAAATTAATAGTTATATTTTATTGTTAAAATAGTTTATATTGTATTATACCCTATAAATAAGTAACACTTGATATGTTTTAGAATAAAAACAAACCTGTAATATTTGTACACTTACTTGTTAGGCACAAAAGCATACATTTCGTACGTAATTTATCTTAATTTAATTTAATTTATACAGTTGAAAAACTGTATAAATTAATATAAAAGGAATTTCTAAAGTATGTTATATATAACATACTTTAGAAATTCCTTTTATATTGTTATAAGTTATATTTTGTAAAATTAATAATCGTTTTTCAACTGTAAAAAATCATTATTCTTCTGTTCTAGGAAATATTTAACATAAAAATACACGTTAATAATGATTAGATTTATCCACTTTTAATAAAAATAAATTAATATCGTATATAAATTATTTGCCATTTTATAATAATTAAAGATATAAAAAGTTTTAAAATAAAATATTATAACAAATATCATAACACTTGGTGAAATTTTTTGATGACGTAATTTTGCCAATTAGCAGAATTTGAACACTTTCAACACTCGAATAATTTAGCGCCAGTTTTGCGGATTACACTACCAATGTTCTTTAGAGCATTATTTAGAAACATTGATATAGCAATCGTGCTTAAAAATAGACTCGAATAAATGTAATTTCTATTACGCGAATCGTTTATGTTCGCGATATTAATTTAAAAATCAGCGAAATAATTTAATATAATAAAGAATTGAAAATCAGTTCAAATAATTCTACAATGTTTTAGTGTTCATCTGATAAAGAAAAACTACGTGTGATGTAATTAATTGTTCAAAAATATCAGAAACATTAATGAATTCTCTGTTGATCAGATACAATCAATAAATTTCGAATTTATATTTATAAATGAGTATCATTATGTTTACATAAAAGTAAATGCGGAATTTGCATTTAATCAATAAACAACGGACCTGAAAAACCATAACCGGAAAAAGAAAAAGAATTATTGATTGCAATTGCGCTTTTGTTCTTCATAGCTGTCCACTTGTACGTTCATTGTCTTATATATATATATATATATATATATATATATATTATATACATATTTACTTTATTCGAATTTATAGAAAATCTTTTGAAGTTTAAGTGTTTGGTTATACTTACTTAAACTTCTTACTGAATATTAGCATTATACAATCCTACAGTGAAATCCATCCCTCATATCTAAAGAGATATTGAGTAACCAGTGTGAAATTATTGATTAGTTCCGTAGTGATAACAATCACTAAAATCACCGCAAAGTCAGACTTTAAAAGACAGATCGTGCTTTTTCTTTATAATAAAGTTATCGCTAGATTTTAAAAATGCTTTTTTTTTTTTTAATAATTGCGTTGTCTATATAATTGGAGATCGATAATCTTCCTAAACAATACATAGGCATATAATTATTTGCGAAACAATATCTGAATTATAAATGTAAATGAATTTTGAATTATAATTTTCTATTAAACTATTTTACAGTGGTACCTCAGGATACGAACGCCCCAGCATACGAAATTTTCAGGATACGACATGAAATTCGAACATATTTTTGCTCCACGATACGAACAAAAACTCACCATACAACATTAGTTCATTAGTTCACTAGTTACATTAGTTCGCACTACANTGATTTTAAATTTAAATTATACGAAATTGAGCAATATGGAAATGAAAATCCCGAAACAAAAGAATGGAACGGATTAGTTAGACAATTAATGGATAAGGTAAAGACGGAATTTTATTGTTCTCTTTATTAATTAATACTTTTGTCGTAGTTTATTCACGAATTAAGATTTATAAAATATTTCGTATGTTTAGAAAATAGATTTGGGCCTAGCTGCCTTGACGATATCTTGGAAAAGACAAGAAGTCATCTCCTTTACAGCTCCTTACTACGATTTAGGTTTTGCTATATTAATGCCAAAATATAATGCAAAAACTAAACAAAATTATTTCGCATTTTTATCACCTTTCGAAACAACAGTGTGGCTTACCATTGCTGTGTCGGTGATTTTTACTTCTCTAGTGCTTGCAATATGTGTAAATTTAACACCAAGTAATTTTAACAACAGTAGAAAGGAGATAAGGAAAACAAATCAAAGCGTTAGAGATTCTTNTAATTTTTTAATCTTTTCTAAGTTATTTTTAAGTTGTTACATTATGTTATGTAAGTTAAGTTTTTTAGTATTATTTTCCTTCTCCCTCTCTTCAGCCACCAGTTTACACCTCCACAGTCGTCTATTTTCAAAAGTAAAAGGCAAATAAAACTACATTATTTTTATCAATTATTATTCTATTATTGTTATTTATACATTTACAACTACAAAACGCATTTTTCAGTGCTTTCCTTACTACAGTTATTATTTTTAAATGTACTACTTAACTTTAATTTGAGTGCGTTTTTCGTGTTGGAACGAATTATTTGGTTTTACATGTAGTCCAATGGGGGAAAATGATTCACCTTACGACATTTTCATGATACGATCTCAGTTTCCGAACGGATTAATTTCGTATCTTGAGGTACCACTGTATTTGAATAATAGTCTGACTATTGCAAAATCATAATGTAATAATTTGATAATTTCAATTATTGATAACCATAGACTAATCAAAATATATGTAAAAACAAGTAAAACGGTTAGGCCATTTTTGGGAAGAGACTCGGAGACCGTTTTGTAAGGAAACTAAAAAAATGAGCACTTTCCAATAAGGCAAAGCCGACACCAGTACTTGTAAATTACCACGGGTTGCGTTGTCACGGGCTACGCGGTACGCGGGATCACTTCGACGCCCACTGCGGATCTCGTTCTCAATCTTCAATCTTCTTTGGTATCGCTGGATTTAAGGGCGATCGTTCAAACTTAGCCGGCTTCGGCCACGATCACGAGGTCGTCAACGAGGCATTTTCGGTGAAATGATTGGGGTCAAGGGGATTCGAATGAGGTGTCAACAACACACAAGAAAATCGAAACGACGAGAGTAAGAGAATACACACGTAACGTTTGTCAAAATTCGATTTCGCAACGTTCGCATTTCGAACTTCCCAACGAGCAACGCATATGGAAATCTCTCACTCGCGCCTGTTTGTAGAAACAGAGTCGCCATTTTGTATTTTATTTTGAGCCGGTTCTCGGTCCCCTGACTACCTTTGCTTTTTTATATGCGCATGATTTGAGCACCAAACACTCTTTGCCATATTGAAACTCCAGACACGTACTGTACTCCTTCATACCTCTAAAGTGTCCAGCCGTTGACAGCAGCGCGATTTTATAGACAAGACATTGTCTCATCAAAAAGAGTAAAATGTGAAATTATATGAATTTATATGATTGATATTTTATCGTCACATATCTATTTTATTAAAATTTTGCAGAATTAAAAAAATGAAAACTGTTAAACTGTTTAACTTTTATATCTTTGCAAAAGATGTAAACATATCATTATAAACAATTATTTGATATAATTAATTATATAAAATTTATGGCAAATGTTTATATAATTTTATTCTCAACTCCATCTTATAATGTTCTTTGTCTTCTAAGTTTTAAATTAAAAGAATTGCAAAAACTATATTCATTTAATATATTTATTAATCAATCTAATTTTTACAGCAATTGTTAAAATTAATCATTAAAATATTTAGAATTCTTAAGGTAATAAATGAATTGCTTAAATTTATTTATTCAGCTATTCATGCCACAACGGAACTTCAAAGGCTAGCTACGAAATACGAAATTACACTGCTTTCTATTCAGAGATTTCCTTTGTCTGACTCAAAATCTCTCGATGTAACACCACAATTAAACGCCATTAAGGTAAAATAATTAAATCTAGTATTTATAAATTTTAGAGCTTTAATATCTGACATACAATTGTAATAATAGAATTATAAATTAATCCAGTGGTTTTCACCCGGGAGTGGCAAAATATAGTGCTGAGCAGCGCCATAACACTTACTTTATTACTAAAAGTATGAAAAGTGCGAGAACCTGGGAATTTGGAATAGTTTAATTAAATCTTAAAAAAAATTATAAAGTTTTGTAAAAAATTAAAAGAATTTTACAAATTGAAAGAAAGACAAAATTTTATCTATTTTCAACATCTCTCCTTTGTTTCCTGTGATTCAGAAAATGTTGAATATTTTTGCTAAATTGAATATTCAACAAAAAATGACCGAATTGGGAACAAATTCGATTAGTCTCCATTTTCTTATAAAAAGTAGAAGTCGCCATCCATCCTTGCTTTTAGTCATGCTACAATCGTACTACAAGCCATCTAGCGTTTGTCCTGGGTCAGAAATACCTTCTGGCCCAGGACAAATGCAAGGTGGACCCTCAAGTAGTTCCCTCCTTTGGTGCCTCCATCCTAATAATATAAAAGGTCTACATTTACTAAACGAAAGGTTCTAACGACGTTCCCAGGTAGTTCATTTGGTGATAGTACCCTGAAATATTTAGACAGTAGTTAGCTTCATTATATTTCAGTCTTTGTTTAGCTTGATATAATATTGTACGCAATTTATATACTGTATATTACGTATATGTATATTTTGTAGGTCAATCCATATTTGATATTAATAAATATAGTTAGTTTATTCATTACATTTGGTCGACTTCCATTCTCCGAATCTACACCACCCCTCCTTCACTCCACGTTATCACTCAATCCCTCTCATTCGAATTATATAAAAATAAGATAAATGATTCAATGGTTCTTTTATCTCGAGTTACGACGCGATCGTTCTTTTATCCTAACTGTTATCAAGAACCCTCGACAATAGGAAGATCCCGATGATCTTCCTCTTCTGTAAGATTTTAGCCATCCACCGACAAAGTGAGCGAGGTCTGGCAGACCCCGATTATCGCAAAAGCATAAGAATTCTCCATCTCTAAATAAGTATGGTGCCGCAAGAAATAAATTACAAAGTTGAGGGCGCCACTATTAGAAAAACTTAAAAAACACTGGATTAATCTAATATAATTGATTACATTCATTTCAAAACACAGTGTAAATTAAAATTTTTATCAAAATTTACCGCGAGTTCTGATAACACTTTTATTCTAATAAGGAAAAGGACGTGAGAATAATAATTCTTTATTGTGATATAACGATAAGTAAAACTGTTATAAAGCAAGCTGAACGCATGAACATGTTTCGTTCTGGATGGACCTGGCTCGTCATGGATAGCATTACATCGTTCGTAAGTCTAAATCTTTTAATTCTGTAACCTACATAACAGTGCAGAAAGACTTTAAGTCACATATTATTCTATATTATTACATTAAAGTTTAATAAAATATCTCTCCTAATTAGCAATTATTCTTTGTTTGCAGAGTCTTAAATACTTATCGGACGATGACGGATATATACCATCTTCTTTAGTCGGATTAATAGGAACAGCATTTGTAGTTCCTGATACCATTTTGTATTTAAAATTAATGAATCAATTAAAAGCGAATAATTTGGAAAATCATATAGAAAATCAGGTAAACTACTATATCGCGCGACTTTGTTGTATGGAAATAGAATTGAAGCGGAGCTAGAGAGAGAAAAGCAATCCCTGCATAGATGAGATCCTTTTACTTGACGGTACGGACAAGTGAACTTTGCACTTGCCGCCAAAAAATAGGTTTTTTTAAACTCTTTCGCCCTGTGAGTACTAAGAGGGCTCTTATAGTAGGCCCATTATGGGTTCGGCCAGGCCCACAATGGGGCGACCGAATGGTAAGGGACGGGGCCCAACATATCCGAACGGATCACCCAACCGAAAAATTCCTGGGGATTCCTCGACCCGTCCGGATTCGATCCCACAAAACAGGCTATTCTTGCATTATAGACACGATTCTTTCACTTGCCTACACGCTGAGGCGATACAAGAAGAAATCAATTACCATTTGTTCTTGTGTTTTGTTCGTTTTTCGCACCTATTTTCCGTTAGGCATACAAACAGATGTTTTTGTTTTTTACACTAGGTCTAAATTTCGTTAGATGCGCTCAGTCGAATCTGAGATCATGGACATTCTCACTTTAATACTGTTGTATATCCAAAACGAAGTCATTGGCTCCTATTTTTTTTACATTTAATTAAATAAACCCACATTGCATTTTTAGATTCATCGTTGCAATTAGTGAAAAATGGTACCGACAATTCTATGTGCTCACAGAATGCAGGCAAGCGACCATCAAACATTGCACTACAAAGTGACGCGATTCGTGCGATATCGCTTAGTGGTGTTTGTGCTATGACCTTATATCTCGAAAATGAAGTTATAGACATCATTTTTTACTACAGTTTTGGACACCTCATCAGGATTAGTGAAAAGAATGCAAAATTTAATCGAAATCAGATTTTGAGAACGAACACAATTCTGTAAGCCACATAGAAAAGGCTTCGCTGACTCTCCGCCTCAATATATCATTGAAATTATTTTACTCATTTAAATTTTCATATCTATGAATTAATGAAAATCACTTTTCAGCAAGCTATCACTCGTGTGTATGATGCAGTGTTAGCAATTGCCAACGGACTTCACAGAATTCTTTACGAAGAGAAAGTATCTTTCGAACTTCCTACTTTCCAAAAAGGAAGTTGCGCAGATTCTGTCAATGACTGGAAATGGGGTAGAAATTTGTTGGAAAGTATTCTTAATTTGAATAACGTTAATGGAAGTTTAGGGCCTATAAAGTTCACGAAATTTGGTTACCATCATCTCACCAGTTTTGACATCGAAAACCTTCAAACGAGAGGTTTCGTTAAAGTAAGCTATTTCTAATTTTCAAGTTCATTTAATATTCTAAAATGGTAACTAATATTTTAACTGATATATTTAGGTAGGAAAATGGTTAGGAAACGAAAAACACTTGACAATTAATTCAGAAATCATATTTCCTGGGCAAACTGTGAAACCTCCTGATGACTCTCATCACAGTCTTCACGGAAAAACTCTTAATATTGGAATAGTTATAGTAAGATTAATAAAATTAATATCATCATCATAATTATATTGTCTTATTTTATAATAAATATGTTAGGCTAAAAGATCGAGAATGCTAATTGAGCGAAACAATCGTTCAGAACACGTTCTTTCTCCTCAGATCCAGCCACAACGTGAATTTCGTGTCGTGGCAGTTTCAAAAATGCACACAAGCCTTTTGCCACATTCTATAAAACAACAAAGCGAAACTCGTATTGAAATCGTTTAATAATCAATCAAAAGAAGATCTGCAATGTGAAAATGACACAACTCGTATTTGATGCTTATGAATGCAGCAACGATGCAATGTAATAAAAAATATCTATGCCAAAATAAGTAATAAATTTCTTCGTTATTTAGAATCAAATCAACTTTTAATCTATATTGAGAAATTATAACGAAAATAAAAAGTTACCCTAATTAATCATTTTTAATTAAGCCAGGGATGTCCAACCTTTTAGTTTCTTTGGGCCGCATTGGAAGAAGTCAAGGAGTTTTGGGCCACAAGTATATATTACATATACTTGTGGCCCAATATACAAGTATACTAAAGGATTAACACATCTAGGTTATAATAATAAGTATTAAATCTTTATCACGAAAAAGAATATTTTAAAAAATTACTTCTACAGACACTTTCAATTTTACTTAGAAATAGACAAATTCATTTACTATAAAAAAGACAAACGAAAATTTATTTNAGTATTTGAAAATATTTCCTTTCCACTGAAAAGTAAAAGATGAATAAAGGTTTACGACTTTGTGAAACTTCTATTTTGAGTTTATGCCGTTGAAATAAATATATAATAAAAAAATTAAAACATTTGTCAGTTTTGTTTACACGTTTATTGGGCCGCATTGGAACTTGCCTTGGGCCGCATGCGGCCCGCGGGCCGCGGGTTGGACACCCCTGAATTAAGCCTTAAATTTTTAAAGTAAATCTTCTATTTATCATTGCTTTTTACTATTTAATATAAAAATTTGTTTGGAGTTCGTCTTTTTGTAAAAATGCCATTATTGAAAACAAATTTCCATTCAATTAACAAAGCGACTTACAAATAAATTTCTGATTTGTCTTAAATGTATAAAACAGTTTTTAGGTATCTATGATTTTAATGTATTGTACAGTACGTAGGTATTGAGGATTCATAAAGAAGACAATTAACAGAAAACTGTAATGTTCACTGTGAATTTTAAAAGAAAGAAGTATATTTATTATACTGTACCATGGTTCTTTTAATTACATAATGTTTTCTGACAGCAATTTTAAGTGGTGAGTAGTGATGAGTAGCCTATTTTTCTAATAATGAACAATGATCAGATATTAGTCCTTTAAAGAAAATTGTACATAAACTATTTAGTAAATATATCTGCTTAAAACTTTGTCATTTATTTTGTATGATAATGCGATGTGTATTTTTACATTGCCAGAATGTGTTTTGGTTCATCATTAAAAGAATTTAAACAAGAATTTCACTTGTGTTTTATTAAATATGCCAAACGCATTTTTCAAATTGCAAATAAACGAAATTCGCGTTGTGGCGTAATCTGAAAAGTCAGAACGCTTTGTGGTCGAGTTTTTCGTTCAATTAGCATTTTCAGTCATTTGCCTAAAAATTACACGTAATAAGTAACAGAATATTTAATTATTAGTTTATTTAAATACAGAATTTCTTTCTAGGATGAGCCCTTTATAATGAAAATCCCTTATTATAAAGAAGGAGATCCTATACATTCTAAATACGAAGGATTACTTATAGACCTTCTTTTGAAATTACAAGAAATGCTTAACTTTAAATTTAAATTTCACGAAATAAAGGAATATGGAATTGAAAATCCCAAAACAAAAGAATGGAACGGATTAGTTAGACAATTAATGGATAAGGTACAGATAGAAAATTGTTCTCTGTTAATTAATACTTTTGTCGTAGTCTTATTCACGAATTAAGATTTATAAAATATTTCGTATGTTTAGAAAATAGATTTGGGCCTAGCTGCCTTCACGGTATCTTGGAAAAGACAAGAAGTTATCACCTTTACAGCTCCTTACTACGATTTAGGTTTGGCTATATTAATGCCAAAATATAATGCAAAAACTAAACAAAATTATTTTGCATTTTTATCACCTTTCGAAACAACAGTGTGGCTTACCATTGCTGTGTCGGTGATTTTTACTTCTCTAGTGCTTGCAATATGTGTAAATTTAACACCAAGTAATTTTAACAATAGAAGAAAGGAGATAAGGAAAACAAGTCAAAGCGTTAGAGATTCTTCTTGGATCACTTTTCCACAAGCACTTTGGTGGAGCTTCTCGTCGCTTGTAGCCCCGGTAGGTGACCAATTATTTGTTGTTAACGACTTTATTTGTATAATGAAAAATTTAATTAATTGATATGTGTATTTAGGGAACAGAATTTGAACAACAAAAGAATCTTCCGGCAAGAATTGTAATGGTGACATGGTGGCTAACTACGGTTATTCTTATTGCAGCATATACAGCAAAATTGGCAGCATTTATGACAGTCCAGAATATGAAACAAGGTAATAAAATTATTCAAGTAAATACTTTACAGTATTTAAAAAGATATTCGTTTATTTTACTTTTAGAAATTAATTCTCTGGAAGATTTGGTGAAATTGAGTTCAATTTCATTTGGAAGTCTGAATGATTCTTATGTTGAGAACTTCTTCGCCAACAGTCACTGCGAAACGCATAAAATAGCTTACAAACTGATGAAAAATTATAATACATTCATAAACGATACTTTCGAAGGCGTAGAGAGAGTTAGAGCATCGTATTATTTGCCAGAGGGTACTATATAGGTCTAACAATGTTGTTAATTAAAAATGATGCATGAGTTGCCTAATAGCATAAATTTAATCAAACAATAAAGAAGTCTTGTTACTGCAATAAAAAATAATTGAACTGTCTTTATAATATTTCAGGCCACAAGGATCGTTTTGCTCTTATTTCTGATTCACCACTTGTGGATTACGCTTCTATGCAGAGGCCATGCAATGTCGAACGAGTTGGAAGACTTTTTGGATTAGTAAATTATTTTTAACATTAATAATATCCAACATTTTAACACAAGACGATGCAAACTCTTTTATTCTTGTTATTATTAAGAAATCAAATAAAGTACCGATATGGCTGAATGTTTTTTTTTTTTTAAATCTTAATCAAATACCTATATTAATCATTTCTATTAATATGTGTTGTATCTTCTGCTTATGATTCTTTTTTATTTAACAGCAAAATTACGGTCTTGGTTTGCCCAAAGGTTCTCCGTTTGAGAAACAATTCACATCATCTATTTTAAAGCTAAGAGAAGAAGGATATATGGATTTTTTGAATAAACGATGGTTTATCAATAATTGTCCAGGTAATACATAAAATTATCTCTAAAAGGTGTCCAAGGTTTCTAAAATTTAACGTTTTTAAAATTTCAGATAACAGAATAGGAAGCGAAGAACATCAAATGGATATTAACAATTTAGCTGGAGTTTTTCTGTGTTATTTGGGAGGGCTTTTTGTTGCACTCTTGTACGTAACTATCCTGTGGATAAAAGAAAAGACCAAGAGCAAGAAGAAAANTTTTAATTTTGAAGTTGTTCTTTCATATTCTTTGTAGACAACATGGGCAATCATAATAATATCTTTTTCATTAAAATGTTTTAAACAGATCATAGGAGTTTATAGTTTATATTAATATAGAATATTTTTGACATTGACTTTTCATAGGTTCAGATTAGATGATGAGTAAGTTGGAAGTGGCTTTCAGAATTTTAATTACATCAGCAACCTGCTACGCTGTCCAAATGGCATGCAGTAGTGCAGTGACATTATTTTGGAAAAAGTAAATTAATAAATGCAGGTGTTTTTACTTATATAACCATTCTGAATAGGTCAACGACAAGCATTAATTGTAATATAGAATATTAAATTTCTGATATAAAAATTATATTCAATAGTAGATTTGTAAAAAAGAAACAAGAACGTGAAAACTGTTACATATGGCTAGAAAGTAAAGGACTGGCTGGAAGACCACATAAAGGGCTGGCTAACCTTAGGTAGAAAAGAGAAAATTTTAGTTATGTCGTATCATTTTTTAAAATATATAATTTTAAACATTCTGATAAAAATACATTTATTACAAATGAATGTCATAATGTGAGAACTCAATAAACTTTATATTAAATAAGTTAATTTTTTGGACACAGACTGTCCAAAAAATCAGTAAGCACCATTTATTCGCTTCAAGTGTTCCAGAACATAAACGTTTGGCGATTTCACCTTATATTTTAGGCTGCTTGACCGTCAATTTTAAAGCATTCCTTTAAAAAGCACAGAAAAATATCCAATTAAAATTATAAATTATAAACTTATAAAAAAATTATTAGATTATTTCGTACTTTTAAACTTTTATCACATCATATTATAGAATTTGATTTATATAACTACAAAGGTTATCTTACGTGAAAGTTCATTGCACCAAGTGAACAATTTAAAAATTCTGTAAATTGTGTACAGTAGAGGAATAAATAGCGTTAAAAATGTCTTAGATTGGTCACTCGGTGTGATAAACCCATACCGAAGATAAACTTTGGAGTTACTACATATTTTATACTACAATATAACAAACGTTAAAACGAAAACCATAACAAGGGTTATTTCATCCTACCATTGTCACGTTCATAGAAAAGTTATTGGGCTGCAACATTGTAGACCTATAAATTCTGACTCTTGTCACCTGTCTGATAGTCAGTATGTCCTTCCTAAATCTCGAAAAAGGGATTAGCTATATGAAGGTTAAAATCGAATATGGAAACCAAATAGGTAGAAGACCCAGATTAACTATATAGGAAAATCCAGTTTGAAACGGAAGTAACGTTATTTTGATTCAAATGACAGTCGACCCCCCCTAAAGGACTATATATAATTTTGTTTTATATGAATTCCATGTTGTACGAGTCACTTAGATTTTATAAATACGTATGCCGGGCTGTGAACGGCTTACGCATTTATAAAATCTAAGTGACTCGTACAACATGGAATTCATATAAAACAAAATTATATATAGTCCTTTAGGGGGGTCGACTGTCATTTGAATCAAAATAACGTTACTTCCGTTTCAAACTGGATTTTCCTATATAGTTAATCTGGGTCTTCTACCTATTTGGTTTCCATATTCGATTTTAACCTTCATATAGCTAATCCCTTTTTCGAGATTTAGGAAGGACATACTGACTATCAGACAGGTGACAAGAGTCAGAATTTATAGGTCTACAATGTTGCAGCCCAATAACTTTTCTATGAACGTGACAATGGTAGGATGAAATAACCCTTGTTATGGTTTTCGTTTTAACGTTTGTTATATTGTAGTATAAAATATGTAGTAACTCCAAAGTTTATCTTCGGTATGGGTTTATCACACCGAGTGACCAATCTAAGACATTTTTAACGCTATTTATTCCTCTACTGTACACAATTTACAGAATTTTTAAATTGTTCACTTGGTGCAATGAACTTTCACGTAAGATAACCTTTGTAGTTATATAAATCAAATTCTATAATATGATGTGATAAAAGTTTAAAAGTACGAAATAATCTAATAATTTTTTTATAAGTTTATAATTTATAATTTTAATTGGATATTTTTCTGTGCTTTTTAAAGGAATGCTTTAAAATTGACGGTCAAGCAGCCTAAAATATAAGGTGAAATCGCCAAACGTTTATGTTCTGGAACACTTGAAGCGAATAAATGGTGCTTACTGATTTTTTGGACAGTCTGTGTCCAAAAAATTAACTTATTTAATATAAAGTTTATTGAGTTCTCACATTATGACATTCATTTGTAATAAATGTATTTTTATCAGAATGTTTAAAATTATATATTTTAAAAAATGATACGACATAACTAAAATTTTCTCTTTTCTACCTAAGGTTAGCCAGCCCTTTATGTGGTCTTCCAGCCAGTCCTTTACTTTCTAGCCTATATGTGACAGTTTTCACGTTCTTGTTTTTTTTTTTTTTTTTAGAAATCTACTATTGAATATCAATTTTATATCAGAAATTTAATATTCTATATTACATTTAATGCTTGTCGTTGACCTATTCAGAATGGTTATATAGGCCTAAGTAAAAACACCTGCATTTATTAATTTACTTTTTCCGAAATAATGTCACTGCACTACTGCATGCCATTTGGACAGCGTAGCATGCTGCTGATGTAATTAAAATTCTGAAAACCACTTCCAACATACTCATCATCTAATCTGAACCTATGAAAAGTCAATGTCAAAAATATTCTATATTAATATAAACTATAAACTCCTATGATCTGTTTAAAACATTTTAATGAAAAAGATATTATTATGATTGCCCATGTTGTCTACAAAGAATATGAAAGAACAACTTCAAAATTAAAATATGGAGAAAGTTCTAGGATCTCTTCTTCAATGCTATTATCTTCATATTTAAGTCCCAATTATATTAATAGTACTCCCAAAAGACAGGGTAATGTTGAGAATGAAAGCATGCAAACAATCATTCAAGTTTTATTGATCATAATAAATATACAGAAAATATATAAAAGATATTGTTTTATGGTAATAAATGTGTGCCATATGTAATAATGAAATTATTGAACATATTAATAATGCAAAAATAAATAAATAAATATCATATTAATGAAAAATATCTGTATTTGCAAAATAATTCATACGTTTCTCTATGAAAAACCCTTGCCAACACTATAAAATATGTTTGTTAACCAGTACATTTTTTTTAAATTGTATAAAATTAAAATTATAAAAACGAAAATTCTTAGAGATAAATTTGGTATATTACCAACAGCAGAGCAGAATAAGACTAGTAGTAACAATCTAAATGTTCTCATATTTAATTAATTTCGCATCTAATTATAAGCACGTCTACGTTTTATTCCATTTAATGGTATAAAGCAGCGATTCTCAACCCGGGGTACGAGTAACCCTGGGGTACGCGATAGGTTATTTACGGGTACAGAAAAGAAGTTAGTTATTATGGCAGAAAAAATAATATATTATGAATCACAAATTAATTGTATTAAAAAGTTATTACGTAAAAAATGTTCCTTGCAATAACCACAAAATTTATTACACATTTCAAAATGTAAAAATAGAAATAAAAACTTATGCTGCCAGTTGTACAATGGAACAGGTCAATAAATGTTATACAGTCGGTAAATCGTAGTGGGGATACCACATTATGCGTGATTAGTGATTATGCAACGGACTTTTGATGGTGGGGTGTGTTACCGTTATTATTATTATCTCTCAACAATATCCCCACGTGCTGTTTGAAAAAAGTATTTTTTTTTTGTTTATGAAAAGTATTTTTTATTGTTAGCAAGAAAAAGGACATAGCTAGTTTCTCCAGATTTTCTCTACAAGCAGTAATTTTTTCATTATTCATTCACTATTTTTATTAATTTTTTTATTGACACGACTATGTCTTGTTTATAAAATCGTACTGCCTGCTGTGTTACCAGCTTAGAGGTATGAAGGAGTACAGTACATGTCAGAAGTTGCAATTTGTGTCAGAGTATTAGGTGCCAAAATCATACGCGCATAAAAAAAACCAGACTTGTAGGACCTCGGGAAACCGAGAACCGAGTCGAAATAAAATTCAAAATGGCGACACTCTCTACAAACAGACAGTGCGAGATTTGCGCATGCTTTGCTGGTTGGGAACTTGGAAATGCCACAGGGGGATACACTAATGAAAAAAGGTTGGGAACCGCTAGTATAAAGCTTGCACAGAAATCGTGCATAGTAACCAAATACTAAACATCGATTTATTTTTTAGCTGGTGACAATTTATTTTCGTTAGTCTTGAAAAATTTATTCTTATAAATCAATCTTGTTTATCATTAACCTTTTCACGATAATTTCACTCTTGATTATAATGTACAGTACACGGTCATATAATTCTACTTTTAAATTGTCCTCGACCAAGACGTATGACTTCGCCGAGGACGATTTAAAAGTAGGAACTGTGCCGGAATCGAGCAATAGTCGAAGGGCAAAACTTAGTCTATACTGCACTCCGTCCACCCGAAGATTCACGATAGCATTACCTTTTCTTCTACTGGGTCCAACATCTGCCATAAATAAACTAAATAAATTTAATATTTTAGAGTTCAAGAAGTTTATTGATAAACCGGAAGTATAAATAATTTCAAATATAAAAGTGATCGCTTTTCGAATTGTTTTCTTGTCATCTTAATAATTTATTTACTTGACAAGTTTGTATTATTTATATATAATAATGCGCAATATTAAACTTCATTGTGTGATTTAATAAATTAATCGTAAACTTATTTCAAAAAGTAACATAAAAATTACTGGATATTAATTTAATTTTTCATTACTTATTCTGTGACGAAACTGAATTTTACTCTTTTAAATTGAGATACTTAAATAAGGGGGCGGCGAAATTTTCCTCCGCCCCGGGCGGCTAACACCCACTCTACGCCACTGATGAAGTTTGTTTATGATTGTGTACTGCATATTATCAAAATCGAAATTGTCGTGAAAAGTTTAACAAAACACAAGATTGATTTATAATAATTTTTTTAAGACTAACGAAAATAAATTGTCAGCAGGTAAACAATAAATCGATGTTCAGTACTTCGTTACTATGTACGATTTTTAGTCAAGTTTTATACCATTAAATAGAATAGAACGTAGACATGCTTATAATTAGATGCGGAATTAATTAAAAATGAGAAGATTTGGATTGTTAGTAATAGTCTCATTCTACTCTGCTGTTGGTAATATACCAAATGAAGTTGCTATTGGTAAGATTAACAAAGATAAGTTTATTTTTATGTTTTGGATATACTCGAATGCATTAACTTTAGTTGTTTTAATAACAAAACATGTAATCAATGTTACTATTAATTTAATGAGTCTGCTTCTTACCTTTACTTTAATATTATTTAACTTATTCTTGCATAAACGAAGACCGTTGTAAGTTATATTTCAGCAAGCAAGTGTTTGAAAACAATATATTACCTTTTGGTAAAACTATATCTGGTATATTCATTTGTTTTTAGTATTCATACAATTTAAACTTGTTTAGTCCATTTTTGTACTTGACATTATGATTTGAACAATACATTTAAAATACAGAATATAAAAATAAACTAAACAAGCCTTAATCGTATCACCGCTAAAAACAAATGAAAAAGATGTACCAAATGTAGTTTTAAAACGAATTAATTTTCTTACTACGTACCGCTGTAATTTTTTCAAAAGTTATTGATTTTATGTATAATAATAATAATCTATATGAAGAAGAAAATCATGTTCCGAAACGGAGTTTAGTTAATTTGTAATATTTTTGTAATAACTGTAAATTTTATATTGTGGAATTGTTATAAATACCAAAACGTAATATATTGTTTTCAAACACTTGACTGCTGTGTATGATAGGCCTTGAAATATAAATTGCAACTGTCTTCGTTTATGCAAGAATAAGTAAAATAATGTTATTAATGAATGACTTAGATAATGTAATACAAATTATTATAATAGCAATCTACTAATTTCTATTTATCCTGTTATACATTTCCGTTAAATATTTATACTGTATTTACTTTGCAGGTGCTATTTTTCCGTCTGATTTTTATATATTAGAAGAAACATTTCGGTTAGCTATAAACAATATAAATTCAGATTCGAGTTTATTACCCAATACGAAACTCATTCCGATTACAGAGAATGCTTCTACCCAATTAGAAGTTATTAGAGCGGGTAAATTTATATAAATTATATTAAAATTACTTTATTAATAAAATTAATTACCGATATAATTTTTCAGCGTGTAATTTAGTGGATCAGCGAGTGATATCGATAGTCGGACCGCTAACGTCTTTAAATTCTAAAAGTGCCCAAATTGTGTGTGGCCAATTGGAAATACCGCAGATTAGTATCTTGGCCACAGACCCGATGTTATCTTTAATACCGATTTTGAACCAATCGTCGTACCAACGATAATATGTGATATATATCGTCATCGTGTCACCTCCAGATACCTTTCAGAATCACGCCTTAATACACATCTTGAAATATTACGGGTGGGATGCTTTTGCCATTTTAACAGAAGATAATGAACCAGGCAAGTTTTTATTCTTGTTCATTGCTTAATAATGCCGTAAACTTTATTGCTTATTTTCTATACGAAATTAATTATTAACTAATTTATGGTCTATATGTAATAAAATTCAATTAATTATGTGTTTATATGTAATTTTGACATTAAAAATTAATAGTTAGGGGAGACCGGGGCAACTTCGGCATGCGGGGCAAGTTTGTCAAGCGCTTTTTTTAAAAAACAAATTAAAAGGAGACTTTGGTTATAGGTTAGGCAGTTGAGTTTTATTGGTGGCTTGTTGAGTGTAGTGTTTTTATTGTTCTCCAACAAGCGTAGTTGAATTATCAAGCAAATTTTCATTTTCGTTCAATTCCATATAATATTTTTTTTCCATTTATATTGAATTGGCAGGTTTTGTTATAATTCCATGATAACGAAAGTTACTTTTCCTGTTAGAAGGATGTAACTTCAACTTATTCACGTGGCCAGATCGTGGCTTGGCATTCTGTTCTCAGGGTTGTACTTAATGTTTCGAAATCATGACTAGCGGGGTAAGATCGGCAACATAAAGCCACATTAGAAGCAAAGGATAAAAATCAAACAGATGATAAATGAAAACATGTTTGCATTTGTTATTCATGTATATATGTCTTTGAACTTGCATTTCGTTGTAATAATATTAAATGGGTGTTGGATTTGTATTTCTTTGTTTTAATAGTGAATTCCAACTTATACATTGTTAATAACATAATTTTATATACGTGCCTATCTTGCCCCATTACTGTTGCCCCTATACCAGGGGCAACTTTAATAAAAATAATTAAAATAATTACAACTTTACAAAAAGAGAGAAGTTGCCGATCTTGCCCCTATACCCGGGGCAACTTCGTCAATTTCTCTCTTCTTGTAAAGTTGTAATTATTTTAATTATTTTTATTTCCAAACTGATTTTAACCAGTTCTATAGTAAGGTAACATTCCAATAGACAATATGCAAAGCTTTTTTTTCAGTTTACAGCAGTATTTATTACACAAAATTTAAGTAAAGCTTAACATGCCGATCTTGCCCCGATCTCCCCTATATTTTATTGTTAAAACAGTTTATATTGTATTATACCGTATAAATAACTAACACTTGATATGTTTTAGAATAAAAACAAACCTGCAATATTTGTACACTTAGGCACAAAAGCATTCATTTCATGATTATAAATTTATGTAATTTATCTTATATAACATATTTTAACAATTCCTTTTATATTTTTAAATCATAAATATAAATGAAGAAATTCATTAATTTTATAAATATTTTAAATGAATTTATAAATTGTGGTAGATAGGATTGAATAGATGTTTCTTTGTTTTCAATCGATAACTTATTTTTTTTTAATAATTTATTTTCTCAAACGACTCTTTTCGCATTAAAAATTTCATTTTAGAATAAAATAGGATTTTCAAATTTTACTACACGAAACTTTTACATTTGCTGATGAAAAAAACACAACAATTTGAAAAAGAGCAACGAGATATTTAAAGTAAATTAATTAATAACTGTTTACAAGTTAAGTGTTGTTTCTTTTGAGTTTCGGAGAGTTAAAACCTAAGTTTAGAGCGTTCAGTTTTTTTTTTTTTTTTTTTTTGTAATAAAACCCCGAACTTGTATATTTTGGTTAATATCAAGATTTTAAACTAAAGAAACGTTTCTATAATTTTTTAAGCACGAAACGAATTCAACTGAAAAAGACCCCTACCAATAAAAAAATACTTGTCCGAGTAGTCTGAACAGGGAAAAACATCCCAGAGCAACGTAATTGTAACAAGGAAGCGACAGGGGAGAAAAAAGTAATAAACAGAAAACAAGAACTTAACGGGGAAAAACTGCTAACTCCCAACCATCAAAGGTGCACTAAGAAAAAATTAAGAAATTAATCAGTCCAAAGGACAACTAGCTAAAGTAACGTTTTCGTGAGAGAAGGAGAAGAAAAATAAAAGTAACAGATAAATTTGAACCGAAGATAAATCGTGTACCGGCACACGTGGTGCAACCAATAAACAACCAAAGTACTGTACATCGGAAGTAGATAGCCGATGAGAATGACAAACGGAGCCCGATTAACGAAGACTTGGATCGACAGTTCTCCAAACTTCAATTAATGGTATTAAGCAATTTTCCTCATTATGATGCTTACAATTTTATTCAGCCCAATTTTTCCGATATTCATATGCTCCGAAAACTCAGTGTCACCGCTGAATCTGAGAACATTAGACGCAACGCGCACTACAAAACTATATTCGCCGCTAAGCCGCATACCACTAAGGATGTCCTCTTCCACTTATACAAATAAACTCAGACAAAACTACGTCATATTAGAGATTATCGCGACAATGCTCAAAGTAATTGGGGAGCACAACAGCCACTAGATAACAAAGGGTATTGAACCCGCAGAAAAATAATTTTGACCACCGCAAAAATAGAGAGAGAGAGAGAGAGAGAGAGAGAGCTATATAAATGTGGGGGCCGAGGGGGAAATAAAAAAAACTTGACCAACGATAATATGTGATATATATCGTCATCGTCTCCCTTGCCGTATGGATTGCCGAGCGGTAACAATCAACGACATGTGGAAGCAGTTGAATCAGAGATAGATGCCTCGTTTACAAACAACACAACCTGTTTATTAAACACGAAAGAAGCTTACAAGATTTCCGCAATCTTGATAGTTCTACTTTGGCTGCGGCCTCCGGGTCTTCCTCTCCTTTCAAGATAGTCCCATTTTGAAGGAGTGTCCCTTGTTCGCGAATGAACAATTCCATCACGTCTCGACGATTCCGGGACGATGCGGTCGACTTCCGTTGATGGAAAGATGTCAATCGGAGATCGGGAGATGGAGACAAAGATGGGCGCGAGACACACACACTACAATAGATCTGTCACTCGAAACTTTCGGGAGAAAAAGCCGTCGCGTCCTCGAATTTCCGGGGTTTTATCCGTTTTCTCTCAGATTCCCCTTTTTGATTGGTCCTCTCCTCGTCACCTGATGACAATTCGAAACCTTTCGGGGGCGCGGGACAGATCAAAATCGAAGTTTAATTCGATCTCCAACCGGAGATGGTCGATGGACTTACATTCTTCTATTGTTTAAAAGTTAGCGTCGCGTTTTCATAAAATAAAAATCTATTTCTAACTACATTATTTTTTTTCACTAAAACAATTATTTTAACGCGAATTTTAGTGAGGGTTCGGACCTGTCCATAGCCTGACATAAGCAATTTTGTAGGCGACAAATTTTGTTTAATAACTTTAAGGTAATAATACATATTTTCTATGTTATCCGTAAGAGAGACAGAGTACGCCTAATTGGCTATCGATTCCCATGTCATTTTATAACTACCACACTAATTTAAAATCGAATTTGCCTACTCAGAACAAAGCACCATTTTGAAAAGGCCAGGGTAATGTGAGAATCAGGACATTAAAGTAAACAACTTAACATCATAACATCAACTTTGTTAAATATCTGTCAACTTTCATACCTGTGAGTATATCTTCCTTTTATTTCTTAGCGTAATGACGCTTTCTCGAGACTTTCTGACCTGCTGACCCGATTTCTTCTCTTTTTAATATAACTACTAGCGGTCTGAGCTAGTCTTCACCTGTTCCTCCAGGAGTAAAAGTCATCGCTAATTTCTCACGTCAGTGCCCGATTCTACTGAATTAAATATTTTGGTCAACTATGCCTTTGAAGACAAATTTTCCTGAACAATCCTGATCCAAAACTTCCTGAACGAGACAACCTCAATGCCCTAGTCATCCTAGACACAACGAGACTCTAGTCAAGGAGCATTACGTTTCAGACACCATCAACCCCAGGTATTTATCAACTCGCAATCAATTGTAAGTTCTCTCTCTCGCATGACCACTCCCGTTAGATAGGTAAGCTAATCCGATATATTACGATATATGTATTATGTAATATATTTCTGGCTAGTAAATGTATTCGTTAATTGTTAAACCTAGAGTCTGAGTGATTACTTCCGTTTCGCTGTCTCAAAGTCCTCCATTCAGTATCAGATCACTGAGGCCGCTGGCGTAAATTATTTTTAATAACAAAACAATTCGCCATCACGGCTTCCGTGTCAAACGAGACAAGATGGTGCCAGACTGACGCGGCATAAAAGAGGTGCCGACCCTCTGGTCACAATTGCAATGTTTTGATATTCATCTGATAAAGACAAAATGCGTGTTAAATAATTAATTCTGCAAAAATATCAAAAACATTGATGAATTCGTTGTTGATCATTACAAACGAAAAGCATTATCTAGCTAAATAAATGTGTCTTTGTATATTTTATTTGGTAGAAATAAAAATTTAGTTAAATATAAAAATAAAAATTTATTTCTCCATCTGCAAAACAAATATTTTATATCTGAAATAAATTCCTGTTCCTGGATAATCTCGGGAAAAAAACATATTAAAAATATACACTGAAGATAGTTAATAATGAAGAGTTTTACGTAAAAATATAAATCACACATAAGATATTCAAATACTAATAAAAACAACATAAATGCCACTGGACACAATCAATGAATTTCGAATTTATATTGTGACCGAAGGGTCGGCACATCTTCGATGCCCAGGATGACACCACCGCGTCTTGGCGGACACGGAAACCGCGTAAACTAGGTCACGTAACTGAGCGATCAGATTCGGGATGGAGGGAGAGACAACGCGCCGGAAGTGACTTACTCAAAGACGTATTAAGTTAACAAATGTTTAATGGGTAACGATAGGCCATACATTTACATTTTAAATTATGCTAGCTTTTAGATACATTTTTACGATTTAATGGATATTAGATATAGCCTATTTGATATTACGTGTTTCCGATTTCCGAGAGAGAGAGAGAGTTTACAGAAGTTGCGCGTGGCGATAAATACCTTTTATGATATCTGGATTGAGATTCTCAACTTGGGATTGAGATTGAGATCTTGAGGGTAAGGGTTTTGATCGCTGGCTTGGTCTGGATCACGAAAGTTCTTCTAGGCACAATGAAAAGTAAAGGGAAAAATCCGACAGGGTACTGATTGAGCACAGAAATTGTCACTGACACACGGAAAATTTCGATGACTTTAATCCAAGAGTGAAGGGCGATGACTGAGTCACTTTGTTGATTTGTTCTAATGTTGTACTGTTGAAATCGAGATATTAGGTCGAAAGGTGATGAGAAAGCGTCGTTATTAGGCCTGAGAACTTAACACATGTTTAGCTCCCAGGTGTAAATGTTGACAGTTATTTAACGAAAGTATAGATACGATGTGATATTATGATGCAATGATATAAATATACTGAAAGTCTGGATTCTGATCCTCACAATATTTATAAATGAGTGACATTATGTTTACATAAAAGAAAATTTGAAATTAGCACCCGATTAATGAACAACGGACCAAAAAAACAAAAAAAAACATCATCCGAAAAGAATTCTCCGTGTTCTAGCAACTCTGTTATGTATATTGATTAGAATTGCGTTTTTGCTGTTAATAGCTGTCCATATGTGCGTTCATTGTCTCATTTATATATATATATATATATACTGTATATTATATACAGTTAAGTTATATATATTTACTTTATTTCAATTTATACAAAATTTTTTGCAGTTTAAGTTTTTGGTTATATTTATTTAAACTTCTTACTGAATATTAGCGTTACACGAACTCAGAGTAAAAATTCATCACTCATATCTAAAGAGATATTGATTAACCAGTGTGAAGTTATTGATTACAGTAGAGCATCGATTATCCGACCCCAGATTATCCGACACCTCGGTTAACCGACCGTCCTAGTTGGCAAATTTCAAATGTCCGCTAGTGATGTGGCGCTACAATATTTGACTATGTCTTGGCTACTTTAATATTATTTTTACGTGTTTTAGCTGGCAACACTCATTCGACCATGAATGGAAGCCAGTATTTAAACGAGGCTTAATTTTCTAATTTTTAACGATACAATATCGACGATTATTATTTTAAAAAATTTTTGTTAGGCTTAACATCGATGAAAATTTAACGCGAAGTAGGTTAATAGCGATATACTAATATACTGATTGGATAATATACTAATGGGATATAATAATATACTACATTAATAATGGATTTTTTCATACTTTTCGGTTATCCGACTTTTCAATTATCCGACCAACCCCAGTTTCCAATTGAGTCGGATGATCGAGACTCTACTATACTTCTGTAGTGATAACAATCACTAAAATAACTGCAAAGTTAGACTTTAAGAGAGAGACCATAGTTTTTCTTTATCTATATATATATAATCGAGACGAGTTGATAATAATAAAAATAAGCGCAGAGCCCAAACGGTTAGGAGTTGGAAGCTGAAATTTGGTACACAGATAGGGTACGTCACGAAAACGCACACTAAGAAAGGATTTTTCGAAATTCCCCCCGGGGGGAGAAAGACAGGATTAAGTCTTAACACTTCCATCAACAATGGAAGTGTTAAGTAACAATGGCGGTGTTAGGTAACAATGGAAGTGCTAAGTAACAATGGAAGTGTTAAGTAACAATGGCGGTGTTAGGTAACAATGGAAGTGTTAAGTAACAATGCAAGTTTTAAGTAACAATAGAAGTTTTAAGTAACAATGGAAGTGTTACGTAACAATGGTATTGTTAAGAGAAAGCGACGTGCAAGATTTACAGGCGCAGATGCAGTTCTTACGTTTTTGCGGGAAATCGAACATATTTTTAGAACCATCTAAAAGTTCTCTAATTAGTCTGGAAACAAGGGGACTCAATTCTTGCATTCTGTGAAAACGGGTAAGGTTGACTGTAACGTAATAATCTTTATCTTAGTTATCGTTACTTTTGCCCAGCAACGCCGGGCCCACCTGCTAGTAATAATATATTCGCTCTATTTTGTCAATATTTTTCGAAATCGATAACTTCCTAAACAATATATACTCATATAACTATTCGTGAAGTATTAAGAAATCTAAATATCTCAATTATAAATGTAAATAAATTTTGAATTATAATTTTCTATTAAACTATTTTATTTGAATAATAGTCTAACTATTGCTAAATCATAATGTAATTTTTTGGTAATTTAAATTATTGATAATCATAGACTAATCAGAATATATGTAAAAAAAATAGAAAATGTGAAATAATATGAATTTATACGATTGATGTTCTATAAAAATAACTTGTCACGTCTCAATTTCATTAAAAATTTGAACTTTTATATCTGAAAAAATAAAATAAAATCAGATCAGTATAAACAACTATTTGAATAATTAATCATGTAAAATTTAAGGCAAATGTTTGTATAATTTTATCAATTTATTCTCCGTTCCATCTTATAATAATTTCTGTCTTCTAATTTTTGAATTAGTAACTAAAATTATAAATCTGCATTCATTTAATGTATTTATTAATCAATCTAATTTTTACAGCAATTGTTAAAATTAATCATTAAAATATTTAGAATTCTTTAGGTAATAAATGAATTGCTTAAATTTATTTATTAAGCTATTCATGCCACAACGGAACTTCAAAGGCTAGCTACGAAATACGAAATTACACTGCTTTCTATTCAGAGATTTCCTTCTTTCTCTGACTCAAAATCTCTCGATATAACACCACAATTAGACGCCATTAAGGTAAGATAATTAAATCTAGTATTTATAAATTTTATAGCTTCAATATCAGATATACAATTATTATTATAGAAATGGAATTATGAAATAATTCAGTGATTTTCACCCGGGAGCCGCGAAATGTAGTGCTGAGCAGCGCCATAACACTTACTTTTATTACTAAAATAATGAAAAGCGAAAGAATTCTCTGTCTCTAAATCAGTATGGTGTCGCAAGAAATAAATTACAAAGTTGAGGGCGCCACTATTAGAAAAACTTAAAAAACACTGGATTAATCTAATATAATTGATTACATTCATTTCAAAACACAGTGTAAATTAAAATTTTTATCAAAATTTACCACGAGTTCTGATAACACTTTTATTCTAATAAGGAAAAGGACGTGAGAATAATAATTCTTTATTGTGATATAACGATAAGTAAAACTGTTATAAAGCAAGCTGAACGCATGAACATGTTTCGTTCTGGATGGACCTGGCTCGTCATGGATAGCATTACATCGTTCGTAAGTCTAAATCTTTTAATTCTGTAACCTACATAACAGTGCAGAAAGACTTTAAGTCACATATTATTCTATATTATTACATTAAAGTTTAATAAAATATCTCTCCTAATTAGCAATTATTCTTTGTTTGCAGAGTCTTAAATACTTATCGGACGATGACGGATATATACCATCTTCTTTAGTCGGATTAATAGGAACAGCATTTGTAGTTCCTGATACCATTTTGTATTTAAAATTAATGAATCAATTAAAAGCGAATAATTTGGAAAATCATATAGAAAATCAGGTAAACTACTATATCGCGCGACTTTGTTGTATGGAAATAGAATTGAAGCGGAGCTAGAGAGAGAAAAGCAATCCCTGCATAGATGAGATCCTTTTACTTGACGGTACGGACAAGTGAACTTTGCACTTGCCGCCAAAAAATAGGTTTTTTTAAACTCTTTCGCCCTGTGAGTACTAAGAGGGCTCTTATAGTAGGCCCATTATGGGTTCGGCCAGGCCCACAATGGGGCGACCGAATGGTAAGGGACGGGGCCCAACATATCCGAACGGATCACCCAACCGAAAAATTCCTGGGGATTCCTCGACCCGTCCGGATTCGATCCCACAAAACAGGCTATTCTTGCATTATAGACACGATTCTTTCACTTGCCTACACGCTGAGGCGATACAAGAAGAAATCAATTACCATTTGTTTTTGTGTTTTGTTCGTTTTTCGCACCTATTTTCCGTTAGGCATACAAACAGATGTTTTTGTTTTTTACACTAGGTCTAAATTTCGTTAGATGCGCTCAGTCGAATCTGAGATCATGGACATTCTCACTTTAATACTGTTGTATATCCAAAACGAAGTCATTGGCTCCTATTTTTTTTACATTTAATTAAATAAACCCACATTGCATTTTTAGATTCATCGTTGCAATTAGTGAAAAATGGTACCGACAATTCTATGTGCTCACAGAATGCAGGCAAGCGACCATCAAACATTGCACTACAAAGTGACGCGATTCGTGCGATATCGCTTAGTGGTGTTTGTGCTATGACCTTATATCTCGAAAATGAAGTTANATATATTATACTTTAATCAAATAACTCTCCTAATTAACAATTATTCTTTGTTGGCAGAGTCTTAAATACTTATCGGACGATGACGGATATGTGTCATCATCTTTAGTCGGATTAATAGGAACGGCGTTTGTAGTTCCCGATACTGTTCTGTATTTAAAATTAGTGAATCAATTAAAAAAGAATAATTTGGGAAATCATATAGAAAATCAGGTAAATTAAGACATCGCGCGACTTTGTTGTATGGGGATAGAATTGAGGTGGAGCCGGAAAGACGGAAGCGATCCCTGTATAGAAGATGAGATCCCTTTACATGACAGAGCGGACAGGTGAACTTTACTCTTGCCACCACAAAAGATCCAAGAACAAAGCAATGGATGATGTTTGCTTCGTTGTTGTGTTTTGTTCGTTTTTCGAACCTAGGCGCACAAAATGCTGTTTTTATTTTTGACGCTAGGCCTAAATTCCATTATGTGCACTCAATCGCATCAGAGAGGACAGATACTGTTACTTTAATACTGCTTTATATTGAAAACGAAAAATAGAAGTCATGGATTTCTATTTTTTACATTTAAACGGATTCACATTGCATTTTTGAATTCCTCCTTGTAATTAGTAGAAAATGGTACCGACAATTTTATATGCTCATAGGAATGTTAGCAACCGTAAAACATCGCGCGATAAATTCACGCGATTTATGCGATATTGCTTAGTCGTTTTCGTGCTATGATCTTATATCTCGAAAACGAAGTCTTGGATACAATTTTTTACTACAGTTTTGAATATCTCATCAAAATTAACGGAAAAAACAAAATTTAATCGAAATCAGATTTTGAGAACGAACACAATTCTGTAAGCCACATAGAAAAAGCTTCGCTGCCGCTCCGCCTCAATTAATCATTGAAATTATTTTACTACGTAAATGTTCATATTTATGAATTAATGAAAATCACTTTGCAGCAAGCTATCACTCGTGTGTATGATGCAGTGTTAGCAATTGCCAACGGACTTCACAAAATTCTTTACGAAGAGAAAGTATCTTTCGAACTTCCTACTTTCCAAAAAGGAAGTTGCGCAGATTCTGTCAATGAGTGAAAATGGGGTAGAAATTTGTTGAAAAGTATTCTCAATTTGAACAACGTTAATGGAAGTTTAGGGCCTATAAAGTTCACGAAATTTGGTTACCATCATCTCACCAGTTTTGACATCGAAAATCTTCAAACGAGAGGTTTCGTTAAAGTAAGCAATTTCTAATTTTCAAGTTCATTTAATATTCTAAAATGATAACTAATATTTTAACTGATATATTTAGGTAGGAAAATGGTTAGAAAACGAAAAACACTTGACAATTAATTCAGAAATCATATTTCCTGGGCAAGCCATAAAACCTCCTGATGAATCTCATGGCAGTCTTCACGGAAAAACACTTAATATTGGAATAATTATAGTAAGATTAATAAGATTTTCATTAACATCATAATTATATTATCTTATTTCATAATAAATATGCTAGGCTGAAAGATCGAGAATGCTTATTGAGCAAAACAATCGTTCAGAACACGTTCTTTCTCCTCATATCCAGTAACAACGTGAATTTCGTGTCGTGAAACTTTCAAAAATGCACACAAGCCTTTTGGCACATTCTACTATGTATAAGACAACAAAGCGAAACTCGTATTGAAATTGTTTAATAATCAATCAATAGGAGATCTGTAACGTGAAAATGACACAACTCGTATTTGATGCTTATGAATGCAGCAACGATGCGATGAATTAAAAATATCTTTGCAAAAAAAGTAAAATTTTTTTCATTATTTAGAATCAAATCAACTTTTAATCTATATTGAGAAGCTATAACGAAAATAAAAAGTTACCCTAATTAATCATTTTTAATTAAGCCTTAAATTTTTAAAATAAAACTTCTATTTATCATTGCTTTTTACTATTTAATATAAAAATTTGTTTGGAGTTCGTCTTTTTGTAAAAATGCCATTATTGAAAACAAATTTCTATTCAAGTGACATAACAACTTACAAATAAATTTCTGATTCGACTTAAATCTATAAAACTGTTTTTACATATCTGTGATTTTAAGGTATTGTGCATAGGTATTGAGGATTCATAAACAAGACAATTAACAGCAAACTGTCCTCTTCACTGTGAATTTTAAAAGAAAATAGTTATATTTATTATACCATGGTTCTTTTAATCACATAATGTTTTCTGACAGGAATTTTAACTCATGAGTAATCTAGTTTTCTAATAATAAACAATGATCAGATAACAGTTCTTTAGAAAAAAATTGTACAAAGTATTTACTAAAAATATCTGCTTAAAACTTTGTCATTTGTTTTGTATGATATTGCGTTGTGCATTTTCACGTTGCCAGAATGCCTTTCGGTTCACATTAAAAAAAATTTAAACAAGAATTTCACTTGTGTTTTATTGAATATGGCAAACGCTTTTTCAAATTGCAAATACACAAAATTCGCGCTGGGGCTTGATCTGAAAAGTCAGAACGCTTTGGGGTCGACTGTTTTATTCAATGAGCATTTTCAGTCATTGGCCTAACAGATACACATAACAACAGTGGCGTGCCGTCATTACAAGCGGTGGAAGCGCCGCTTCCCTTGTACTCTATTTTCTAAAAAATAAATTCATATTAATTTTAATTATATGAAAATAATCGCACAATATTTTATTATAACCGCATTATGTATCTTATTACAAATTTCTATACTACACGTGAAAAAAAAAAAATAAGATTGTTATTGTATATTCGAATGTTAGTGGCAGAGTGGAATCTCTGTATTGTCAGATTCCAAAAAGCCAGATTTGCGCATGCGCTTTACAGAGCACCAACCTCACCCGGTTTAGCCGGTGGAAGCCTACGACCTCGGGTGGATGCTACGCATATAACGCTTCCAATTCTATCTGGGACCGGTTCTGGGCTGTTAGCCACCCGCACGCTACATATTTGGCCGATTACGTGAATAACGAGTAGATTTATAACTTAACCCAACCGATAAGAATTTACTGGTATGTTTTTACGATAGTTCTGTATAGTTGACGGGAGTTAAAAAAATCCATTAAAATATTTGATATTGTTATTCCGCTCTCCGATTTTATATTACTCGCGGATTTCAATGTTAAACCGATGATATTACGATTTCATATATCCCATCTTTAAGGGGATGTAGAAAAAACGTGTACAATTCTTGTACAATGTTAAAAAATTAACCGTTACTTTGACAGCGTCATTTACAACTAAATTTAATGAATGAGAGAGATGCACGAAGTACAGAAAAAGCTCTAGAATTTATTTTCCTTAAATTTACGATTTATGTATCCGTTTGTCATAAAAATTTGTCTTTCCACTTTTTCCCGAGACTACAAATATTCGAGTACAAAGTAACTGGTTTCGACTTATTTCTACTTAAGAAGTAGTTAAATAATTAAGCGATTAGGGAATTGGGGACATAAACAAAACCCTGATGAAAGAGCCGGAATATTACTTAAACAAAAGCTTAACCGAACCAATCTATAGCCGAGTACAGTGGGGATTGATTTCTTCGAAATACTGTATTAAATGTAATAAAGACAGAAATTTTTCCAGTTCAACGAGAGTGACCGAAAAGTTGTAAATTTTGGAAATTTCCGTGGAGGACACCTGGTCCTAAAACGAATTAGTTAGAAAACAAATGACTATTAAGTTTAACATATTTAGATTTTTACAGCTATGGTGAGAAACGTTTAAAATCTACAACAGCCCTGTCGCGTCCTTTGAGATATACTAGTGATGCGACAAAAGAGGTATTTGACATTGACCGGTATCGGCACCCTGGGGATTTGGCAGTCCGCGTGTATGCACGCTCTGCAACCGTCTTCGATTCCATCCATTAGCCACTCGTAGGGAGCTATTTGACTAAGTGCATTGTTTTAAGATTTAAAAAGTAAAGAATATTTTATATTTTTATGTATGTTTCTTTACAAAGCTATATTTAATTATAATTTTCTTTAAAAGTATATTCATATAATTGAAGAATATTTTGTATGTACCGGTACATCCACCACATATTTTATTTCACCGAGTAAGTTTTTATTATTTTATTTTTAATTGTAGCCCTTATATCGTGGCTAGCGATTCGGAATGTAATTGTAATATTAAAAATGCATTTAGAGAAGTCTACGGGTTTTACTGGCTTATCGAATAAACGATACGAATGGACCCTAGACCATCTCTGACGCGCAATTGACTGATTGCTCCTGGATGTCGGCTTTTTACAGAAACACAGCTTTCCTATCATCAAATGTCACGGCACGCCCCTGCATAACAAGTAACAAAATATTTAATTATTAGTTTATTTAAATGCAGAATTTCTTTCTAGGATGAGCCCTTTATAATGAAAAACTCTTATTATGAAGAAGGAGATCCTATACATTCTAAATACGAAGGATTACTTATAGACCTTCTTTTGAAATTACAAGAAATGCTTAACTTTAAATTTAAATTTCACGAAATAAAGGAATATGGAATTGAAANTCATGAGTAATCTAGTTTTCTAATAATAAACAATGATCAGATAACAGTTCTTTAGAAAAAAATTGTACAAAGTATTTACTAAAAATATCTGCTTAAAACTTTGTCATTTGTTTTGTATGATATTGCGTTGTGCATTTTCACGTTGCCAGAATGCCTTTCGGTTCATCATTAAAAAAAATTTAAACAAGAATTTCACTTGTGTTTTATTGAATATGGCAAACGCTTTTTCAAATTGCAAATACACAAAATTCGCGCTGGGGCTTGATCTGAAAAGTCAGAACGCTTTGGGGTCGACTGTTTTATTCAATGAGCATTTTCAGTCATTGGCCTAACAGATACACATAACAACAGTGGCGTGCCGTCATTACAAGCGGTGGAAGCGCCGCTTCCCTTGTACTCTATTTTCTAAAAAATAAATTCATATTAATTTTAATTATATGAAAATAATCGCACAATATTTTATTATAACCGCATTATGTATCTTATTACAAATTTCTATACTACACGTGAAAAAAAAAAAATAAGATTGTTATTGTATATTCGAATGTTAGTGGCAGAGTGGAATCTCTGTATTGTCAGATTCCAAAAAGCCAGATTTGCGCATGCGCTTTACAGAGCACCAACCTCACCCGGTTTAGCCGGTGGAAGCCTACGACCTT